AGCCACACTTTGTTTTCACTTCCTACAAAACTGTTCAACTTAATCTGTCTCACACGTGAAGTACAAGCCAGAGTTGTGAACCACAGAAGGGTAGGCTAAAGAATAGTTTGCTGCTTTCCCTGTTCTGTCCCACCTGTCCATAGAAGGTGCACTACACCCTACAGTCCTGAATCTCAGGCTACCAGTATAGAGCTAATTTCAATTAGTTCGCAGCCCTGACAAGATTCTTCCTGGATCTTGACTCTGGAGAGACTGCAAAGTTCCTTTGCATCCCATTTTGTGCCAACCCTGGTTGGTCCACTCTACCTTTGTTAGTACAACAAGGACTTAAAACATACAGAAGCAATGGGTTAATATGCCCTCTGATTGGGCATTTATACACATACATTTATCTTCTCCAACGCACCGGAGATCCGGCATGTCATCCGGCATAGATCGAGTCTGCTCTGCATGCAAGCTGACACGCTCGGCACTGCATCACATACATTTGTATAAATGGCAAAATGCACATCAGCGCTGGGGAAAATGGTGGCGGTGCGCTTTTGAACTAAAACAGCTTTGAGGTGTTTTAGTTCAAAAGCACGCTGCTGCCATTTTCTCAGTACTGACGCACATTTCACCATTTATGCAAATGCAAGTGCCGCAGTGCCAGGCACTTTTAAAAGCATCCGGCGCTGCGGTGCACTCATATGTACAAATGGCCATTCAGTCTACAGCTGTCAGAATTTGTCCCTCCTTATATTACCAAGTATTAGGAGTCAGGGCTACTTCTGCCCTAACTTCTATGTATAATAACTGCCCTTCAGACAGTTAAGTCCCAAATTTAAATCCCAACCAACCCCTCTTTCCCCTGCTGCTGCCCTGCTCAGCAGACACTTAACTATGTATGGAAAGGTTTAAATTCCCAGGGTGCCTCTGGTTCTACCATAGAGTTCCATAGATGTGTGTGGAGAGCCAGTCTCTTTTTGACAGTACCAAACAGCTTATTGCTTAAGTTCTGCTGTCTGTCTTGCCCTGGCCTGGTAGACAGGGTGAGAACTTCTCTAAAGGATTAGGTCTTGCAAAAAACATTGAGTGGCAGAAGTGGTACACCATTTTGTACCTTAATGTTTAGAGCGCTCATCTGCCTGATTAAGAGAGGGCATCTGAAACCAGGTCTCCTATCTTCCAAGTGAGTTCACTAAACACTAGACTACAAGGCATACAAGATAGGACCTGGATTTCCCAGGTAAATGCCCTAATTCAAATACCAGCGAATCATCCTTATTGTGGTCCAATTAATATTTAGGTATTTACACAAAATGGAACAGTTTCAAGACCAAGAGAATTCCCCAGAATCCCATATAGGCTCATGGTTAGAGTGCTCATGTCAGAAGTGTATAAAACCTGCTTTCAGATCCATTTTGTAAAGCAGGCAGAAGGCATGTTGAACCGAGAAAGAACTCCCACAATCCATATAAGTGTTCCCACCAGACTGCTAGATATAAGGTGAGCACCTCAGGTGATTAATCCTAAATTCAAGGAGGCATGTCCCTCCATCCCAGATTTGGCAGTTAATTACCTTTGAGGGGCAGAATTAAGGCCGTCCCTCATTCTTTGGCATTTCTTATCAGCTACCTTAGGCAGCTTCCTGATTAGTTTAATTGTCTCTGTGTATCCCATTCTTAGTTGCTTACTCTCCTATGTGTCTAAGTCAGGCTCAGGCTTCCACAGTGTGACAATTTCCCCCGGAGTTGAGTCACAACGTTGAGCTGAAGTCTGCATTTGATTTAATTTTTAATCTATATTTCTGCAAGACCTGGTTTAAATGCAGTTTTATTAGTTTACCTAAAAGTGTTTTTTTAAATTTAGAGGAACAAGTCAAACCAATGTAACTAATTTTAAACCAAAATATATATTTCCACAGTTATTTTCACCAGTTTAGATGAACCAGTTTCAATAAACTGCTTAATTAAAACTGGGACAAGGTGATATATACAGGTACTCAAATAATTCTAAGCAACAGTTGAGTGACTCCTGTTTTTTTCAGCTTCAGAAAAATATTTTGAAAAAGCTGTGGTAGGGTTAGAGTTGTAGCTGTGATGGTCCAGGATATGTCCTCCAAGCAAGGCTTCTTCCTGACTGGAGGAAGGGCAACTCATACCCACAAGCTTGTCCAGCAGCTTTCCCAACTATACAGTTGGTCCAATAAAATGTATCACAAAGAAGCCTTGCCCTTTTAAAAATATTTTAACATCAGTATAGTTTTCGTAGTGCAAAAGTTGTGTTGTTCCTGCATACAGTTAACTTCTATGTATAATGAAACTACATGTGTATAAAACTTATAGGTGCTTACATGTTTTTAGAATTGAGGCCTTGCTGCATTCTCTATTGTTACATACATCCTAAAATAATGATTATTTTTGTGTATTTTATTCTGTGCTAGTAAAACTAGCGTTATGATGGAAGTGTTACTTTCATTTGTAGTTTTACTCATTGTCACAGCGGGGTCCATCAGGAGGCCCGTGATCTCCTCGAGGTCCCTCGCTCCGTGTCAAGGCCGGCCCAAGACACCCTCTTATTCTCGCCCGCCACGTCTTTGCTGTTTATATACAAGTTTGGGAGGCTGCCTATGACTCCCTGGGCACGGCTACTCGGGACCTCTGTCCCCGCGGTTCTCCCGGACTCCTGTGGTCACCCGGTATGATGGGTGCTCCCTAAGC